CATCAACCAGGTTATTTCTCTTGGCTATGTTATTTCTCTTGGTTGTGTACCTAGGGCAGCCAACCCTGGAAAACATTCAGAGGCTGCAACAGGAACTATTGGGTGTGGTGATGGGCTGTTTATATTTGCTTCAGTGTTACAGAACTTTATTGCAGTACCAATTAAGGCAGAAAGGCCAACCATCACTTATCTCTCTCACACTTCCCCTGCTTCATCTTGGCGCCACATGCCTCCCCACCAACTCCCATTACCCTTATGCAGTTCATGCCGAGATATTTCCCCAAGCAAACTGCAACCAAAGCTATGCCTCATCCATGCCCTTTGTACAGGAGTTATGAACCCTATTATGACAGGTTTTTTTTTTCTGAAGAAGAGTTTTAAACAGTCATTCATCAATAACTTTCCATAATGTTTCAAAAAAACTCTCTTCTTACTGGAGGGCAATAAAACTGTTGATCCTCCAGACCCTCTAAAGCTTCAATAGCTGAAAATACAGTGTACTTGAAACCTCTTAACCTATGTATGACTAAAGATTGTGAAATTGATAGCAGAGATAAGAGAGCCACAACACTCAATGGAGTAATGACTATCTGGATTCGCAGCCAAGATTGCACGGAAAATTGACAGTAAGGGTTCTAGCCACAGATTGAGTGCAGCAGATTTTTTTTTTTTGTTGGCCATTTTATCCATTTCTTTGCAGAACAAGGCTCCTCTTCCTCTAATGTTCTTCCTCATCTATGCTGCAAGGCAGCAGAATGCCCCATCGTGGCTGCCATCTGTCTTTATAAAATGTGCTCTGCAATCAGCTCCCACCTCCTGGCAGAGTTTGGCACCAGCTGTTGGGGGGCCAAGTTTGCCACTAGCTCACTTATTGTGAATGCAAATAAAGATGATGTCACGTGAACAGACAGTTGTGATTCAGGAATTCTCTTTCTCCAGTTTGAACAATGAAGCGGGCAGTAACAGTCTGATATTATTTTCTCAGGAGAGAGATTTTTCAGTATTCAAAACTCTAAAATAAGTAGGCCGTTGAAACCTGGCTCTATGTCTGATGATATGATAAATTCTAGAGATTAGAGACTGTGGAGTGGCTCAGTGGTTAGCACTGCTGCCTCACAGTATCAGGGAGCCTGGTTTGATTCCAGCCTCCATGCAGGTGTTCTCCCTATGTCTGTGTGGGTTTCCTGTGGGTGCTCTGGTTTCAGACTTTTTGTTGTACCTAGGTACATGTGACAATAATAAGTCAAATCAAAAATCCAAAAATGTGCAGGTTAGGTGGATTGGGCATGCTAAATTGCCCATAGTGTCTGGGGATGTCTAGGTTAGGATTAGCCACAGAAAATGCAGGGTTATGGGAACTCGGGTAGAGGGTGAGTCTAGGTGGGATGCTGTTCCAAGGGTTGGGGGTGGTGGGTTGGTGTGGACTTGATGGGTTGAATGGCCTGCTTTCACACTGTAGGGATTCAATGATTCTAAGAGTTGGAGCTTAAATGAGGAAAAGTACAAAGTCAGCTTAGAATTAGCTACTTTTCTGCAGTGATGAACTGGAATGGACTTCCCATGAGATGCTTGTGATAGAAATTATGTAAGAATGTGTCAGATATTTGAGAATAAAAGATATTTATTTTTGGCATTGGTCAGATAAATAGTTGTCTTTTAAGGTCACCAAGATTCTATCCATAGGTGCAAAGAGTTTTATTTTAACTGAATCAAGTTAAACAAGAATAGAGTTTTCTTCCCTTTCGTGCATCGTTCACAATTATTAGAAAACTAATTTTTTTGATGGACATTAGAAACTTTACATATTTGGTCCTGATATGTTCTCCCTTCTCTCCTGTCATCTATAGCTTAGCAAGTGCTGAATTCCATTTTTTTTCCAGTATTGAAAATGGTGCAATGAACTTCTGTTCTAATTCTTCATCTGCCATAGCTAGATTCTGCTGATTTTAGTGTCCCTCAGGAGAAATTAGTAGAACGCGTAGCTCTTTGAGCGCTTTGTTAGATTTTTCTCCTTCAATGCAATGGGACTTGCTGGGAAGAATTCTTTCCCCCAAGCAGTGTCTTTGGAATTCTGCTCCTCAAAAGGCAGTGGGAGTAGTCGTTGTATATTTTTAAGACAGGATAGACAGTTTCTTGATAAGCAAAAGCTGCAAGATTATTCAGGGTAATCTGGATGTTGAGTAATTAGTCAGCCATTATCTTAATGAGACTCAAGTGACCTATTGCTCCTCTGAAGTCTTATGCAAAGATGCGTGTTTATTTTGCCTCTACCGGTGTTGTTAATTAATCTAGCAAAACTGCTGATGTTGGTACATGATTTGTTGTTTTTCTTATCTCTGTGTGCAGTTTCTTTGTGTATTCAGCAGTCTTCAAAACGATAAATGCCCAACATTTTTGGATAATCTACATTGGATGATTTGCACTTCTGATATCTCCAAAACACAGCTCTTCCTCTAAAAATGTTCATTCCAGTGCTTGGCTTCTCGCCTCTAAATCTTGACTTTGATGTTTTGGCCCAGCCTCAGAAGTACATAACATCTGGAGCTTGGTACTCTGGTCTCACCCCAGATTTTAGCACAAAAGCATAACTAATTTAGACCTAAAGATCTCTAATGTACCTTGTGGCCCCTGGTGCATCTGTGCCTAAGATGTTTGAAGGCACGATACCATGGTCTGTTGTAATGTTCAGACCCAATCCCAGTAAATATTAGATTCTCTATTTTACAGAGAGAGGTGGTTTTGTTAAGTTTCCTGATCATTAATTGCAAGGGACATAGTTGAAATCTGACTCAACCATCTGTCAATTGCCAGAAGATTAGACAAAATAAATCATTCTAGATTACGATATATTTAGAGAGTGAGAATACTATGAATTGACAATTCATTTAGAGTATCATGCTATCAAAACATCTGTCAAAAACATTTTGTTGATAGTTAAATTTAAAGAAAAATGTCTGTGAATTTCTGTGTAACAGCCCTTCACCCAATTATCATGGGAAACCTGATTAGAAGAATGACTAGGTGGATAATACAAACATTCAAAGTGGGATCAAATGTAGACCATTCAGTTCCTTGACCATATTCTATCATTTAATAATAACATGGCTGATCAGTTTGAGTTTAGAAATCCCATCTGTCCCTGATAACCTTAGATTCTCATTAGGCTGGGATTCAATCTCTACCTGCCTTTAAAAAAAAGTATTCAATCACCCTGCTTCCACTACCTTCTAAGGCAAGAATTTTCAAAGTCTCTTAAAACTGTGTGAGGGGGAAAAAAAAATCTCCCAGCCTGTCCAACCTGTACTCAAGACCACTCATTCTAGGTAAATCTGATAAGCTTCCTTCGAACCAATTCAAACATTTTTTCATTCTTCCTTAGCAAAGGGACCAAAAACTGCTCATAGTTATCAAGAGTCTAGCTGAAGCATAACTCTCACTTTTATTCAATTCCTCTCCTCATAAGTCATAGCATTCCTTTAGCCGCCTTAATTGCATGCTGTACCTGCATACTAACTTCTTGTGATTATGCACTACAGCACCAAAATCCCCCTGCTGCTTCACTTTCTGCAGTCGTTCTGCTTCTAAGTAATTTTGTTTTAAATTCATCCTGTCAAAGTCAACAACTTCACGTTTTTCCATGGTAGTCTCCATCTACCAGATTTTGTCCACTTGTTCAATCTATCCATATCCTTCCACGAAGACTTATTTCTTCTTCATAACATACTTCTCTCCCTACCTTTGTGTCATCTGCAAATTTAAGCGCTATATACTCACTCCTCTCATCTAAGTCATTGATTTAAATTGTAGGAAGTTGAAGCCCCAGCATAGACTCCAGCAGAATCCCACTTATCATATCCTGACAATAAAAGATAGATTGATTTATAAACTTACTATTTACTCTGGAAAATTGTGAATTTGATGTGGCTGATAGATAACTGAGGCTACAGAAGCAATAGAAGCTAAGTTTTATTCAATTAATCAAGAGCACACAACAAAACATTGAATTGCTTAATAGTTCTAAAGATAGATGAGGGAACTTGGCAGCTGGATTGGTGCATTATTTAAAGGAAAGTATAGTTAGAGTGAGCTATGGGAAGGACAGGAAAGATAGGTTTCTGATGCCATGCGTTAGAACTTCAGTAGGTGAAGTTCACTGTTTTTGAGGTTTGTAAGTGATTTAAATAATAACTGAGATTTTAAGAGAAAAGTAAAATTTCTTTCATCCAAGTAATAAGGAAGGTATCAAAATGTTTGTTGCCAAAGTCCAAATATCTGCTCATACAAAACTATGACAAATGTTTTCCTTGGGGTTACAAATTATATACAGAAAATATAGTTCACTGTTGAAAATGTCAACTGATCCTTCTCCACCTCCCTGATGTTGTCTATTCTTTAAAAGATGTATTCCAGAAAGTTCAAATTATTTGACTGTAGATAAAATGTATGGGAAAGAGCAGTGCAGACTCCTCTAGTTAAAAATCTAACATTGTTAGTAGATCAAATTACTACGTCATGCTGTTGTTTTTACAATTCTTTCAAAGAAAGGTTAGAAATAATTTGAATTGATTTTACCCCCCATCTATATTATTGTTTAATATAACAGAGCAGAATAATCAAATAATGGCAACTTCTAGCAGTAAAACTGAGCAGCTTCATCAATATACTCATTCTAATGGGTTTGCATTTTTCAAATAATGTTTATGATTTTAAACATGAATATTCTTTCATGTATTGCAGTAAAATCTTACATTATATTCAGTGTTTCAAGATGGCATCAGGACATGGCGACACTGCATTTTGCGCACACAAAATCATTTTTCAATGTATTGTTATATACATGCAACAATAAATCTAAATCTACCGTACTTACTGCTTCCAGCAAAATAAAACACGAACTAAAATGTAATCTTATAGAGACTGATGATTTTCTTCTTTTGCTTCTTTCAAAAAATTTTCTTTGTAAATTTAATGTTCAATGCATTATTCTTCTGTTTCGATAGGATTACCTGACAGACTTGATGACAAATGACAGCATCAATTACTTTAAATTATCCAAGAAGATTTACCCACACAGACCAGTTATGCTGTTGATCAGTCATGCTGCACCCCATGGCCCTGAGGACTCAGCTCCACAATTTTCCAACCTCTTCCCTAATGCTTCCCAGCACATGTGAGTGTTAAGATTATTATAATTGTCTTGTAAACATCCACAAGGTGCAGTACACATTATGGTTTATGTTTTGGCTCTTCAAGCAACTTACAAATACTCCACTGTTAGATTTACGTTGAGACGGTTTCTCTAATGTGTTTCCTTGAGGAAATGGAGTTAACATAATACTCTGGTATTGAGTTACGTAGGACAATAGACTTCAGGCTCATTAAGAAAATTGGTGATTTATGTCAATTTCTAATAATGATGCGATGAGGAATTTTGCAAATAACCATATCCCCCCTTTGACATGAGAGAGGAACGAGCTTTCTTTTTTAAACAGTAATTTCGTTCAGAAACAAACCTGTGTGGAAAGAATATTGGCGTGGGTATTAAATTGGGATAGATTCCCACCCATTTCCAATAGTAGAATAGCCAACAGAACCATGTCTAGTTTTAGCCAGAATCATTTCATTTGGCTAAGGTATTGAAGGGACCACCAACTTGTGACCAAATGGAGTATAATGTATGAAAATATTAAGTTCTCCACTTTGACAGGAAGATTAAAAAGTCTTGTTATCAAAATGTTAGGAATTCACCTGAGATGCAGAGTGATCTGGGTGTTCTACTGCATGAACCACTGAAGGTTATTATAGAGATACAGTGATATTGAATGCAAGTACGGAAGTTATGCTTTAGTTACAAAGGGCAATGGTGAGATCACATCTGGAGTACTCTGTACTGTACTGGTCTCCTCATTTAAAGGAGGATGTAAGTAAATTGGAAGTAGTTCAGAAATACTTTATTTGACTAATGCTGGGAGTAAGGAGTGACTTGAAACCTTGAAGAAATTGCAATGTACAAGATCCTGAGGGACCTTGATAGGGTGGATATGGAAAGGATATTTCCCCTTGAGGAATAATTCAGAAATAGGGGTCATTGTTTGAAAATAAGCTGTCGCCAGCTTAAGATCATATCAAAGAAAAATTTATGGTGTTATGAATCTATTGTAACTCTCTCCTCAAAAGGTAATGAAGCAGAATCTTTCAATATTTTAAGTTAGATTATTGATCAACAAGGGGATGAAAGGTTATTGGATGTAGATTAGAATGCAGAGTAATCAAGTCATCCATAATTTTTGACAAGGATGTAGCAGGCTTGAGGGATTGAGCGGCCTACTCCTGCTCATAATTCATATGTTCCTATGAATCATGGTTATGATGTTTTCAGGAAAGATGGAACAACGTGGAAAAAACTGAAAATAGCTGAAGAATCTAACAAGGTATTGATGAAGCTGAAATTTGAGGAGGAAGAGAGTTTGGCCATTAGGGCTGCCGGGTGGAAGAGTTTGACAAGGATGATGGACTGCCAGCCGCAGAATGGTGTCAGAAGGTTTTGTTGAGGCTCTTCATAAGAGCATTCCTGTTTCCTCTGGCTTGTAAGAATTTCTGCAAAGGGACTTGACCTCGGTGGACTGGCAATATACCTGTTTCCATTTGACTACCAGTTTTCCTGACCACAGGGAAATCCATGCTGTGACAGTGAATTTTAAATCCGTCTCCAATTATCACAATGAGTTCAGTTTAAATATGTTAAAGAAATTATCTGTCACTTCATGGTGGGATAGTTGAAAACTATGATGTCTGTTTTAAAAATAGGTATTGGTTGTGTGTACAGCATGTTGGACCACCTCTACTGCCTGTCATTAGGTGCGTCAATGAGTATAGTAGACATTACACCCAAGGATATGGCAAGCAAATCATTAACGGAGTGAAAGAAGATTATTTGTGTCTCAGAAATTTGCTTCTGGTTCTGAGCACTGCACCTACCAATTTTGTGCCAGATCTGTCGGATAACAAAATCCTTTGCCTCCCAACAGCATCTTAAATAGTTTATATAATGTAGCCTGAATTGAGCCACATTGTGTTTTCAGTATTGTCTGATCAGCTTAGAAATGTCAGTGCAAATAGATGTTTGTGTTAAATCTGCACCCATGCATCAAAATACCATGCCTTCAAGGCAAACAGTAAGTTGTCATTTTCATGTCTTAAAAGCTCTGAGAGTTAACCAAGTACTCAAAATGCATAAGTTGCACGGCAACACAAAAGCTGGCATTATATTGCTGCTTAAATGATTCTGGCCTGAGTATTTATTTGCTGGTAAGAAATTGGTATCTGAGTGAGAGCGTAGCCATGTCACTGCCAACTTGCAGTGTGTGCATGGACACAGTTCGATTTAGTGGGACTGTTCTGCTTTTAATGCTGATACGTTTTAACACTCATGTTTGTGTTGAGCCAAAAGTGCCTTTGCTTTATCTGAGTGCAGTAGATGTTGCACATACAGGCACACAGATTTGTTGAACTTAATACTTGCTGAGGAGATGAGGAAAGTAGCGGGTGGTAGGAAGAAGCAGTTTATACTGGCAGGCATCCACTTGTTTCAATCTGCCCCAGTGTTACATTCATTACTGAGGTGGGCTGTGTTAGTGTTGGTGCCAAGTTGGAATTAATTCGATCACTTTTACTTTCGCTTTCTTCTTTGCTGAATTCTCCTCTGAAGTCATTCAGTTGAAGTGCAGTTTTGTGAGCACTACTCACTCTCTAGGAAAGATACAAGTCACCATTGTTCTGAAGCCTAGACAGTGTGTTAAGCAAGTTTTCCAACAATAGATTAAGAAAATGGGCAACTTGTGTCAAAAACATACATATTTTAACTAGGGGTTGATATATTTCTAAAGAAGTGAAAAACTACTAACTAAACACAGAAAGAAGGAAGAAATCAAATCTTGACCTTCCCAGTGTTTACGGTTTGGCTATTCGATATATTTGCTGGGCCATTAGGAAAATCCAGCTTTTAGTTCATATTATTGCCAATCCTTTTAAGGACTGGTAATATTTCTATGTGAGAAAAAAGACTGGTAAGTTGTAGTCAAAATATTGAGATAACAGAGGTCAGCTTGACTTAAATTCTGTTGTTACTTTTTCATGTTGAGTCAAAATTAAGGCTAATAATTTCCTGCTATTCCTTCAAAAAAGTTTGAATTTGAAAATAACTGCAATTGTGAATAGCCTTGCACAATGTTATTCGTCAAACTATTCTTAAAATTAAAACAGAAGGCAAATGGAATGGGTTAAAGTTGATTATGAATGATGGATGATATATTTTTTAAACAAAGAAACAAATTTGAGGTTTAATGGGTTAACATGATCTTGAAAGAATCTAAAAACAAGCAGCCTTTACCCTTTTCTGTATAGGTAGCAAGAACCTAATAACTATTATACAGGGTAGATTTCTGTGGGCTTTCCTTCTGTGTTTAAAATAGGGTTTGTCTAACCTGTTGACTGACGGTCACACTCACACCACTGCATGCACATTGCACATCAGATTATCAATAACTTGATTTCTGCTCAATGACTCTGAACTAGAGAGGCTTAACAGACATTTCCTGCAGATGTGATGTTTCAATATTACTGTTGACCACACTTCAAACCTACTTCACTCCTAACATTGTGCCTCTGCTGCCAATTTTTCCTCTATATTTACTTGTTACCAATGACTTATTTCCAACTTACCATTATCATTTGAGAGCTAGATAATAATTGGTAAATAGATTTGTCTTGCTACTGCATTTATTTGTTATTTGCTCTGTTTATTTTAAGAATTGATGGATTGGTTTAATTATAATTTGAGAGAATAATTAACACTTAGCTCAATTTCCTTAATCTCCACTGTTCCTTCTACTCTGGTTGTAATATCACACTGTAACATTTCTCTCTCTCTTTCTTTTGCCTGTTTTCTCATTTTTTTAAGTGCTCTTTTATTCGTTCCCTCTCCTCACTTTCCCACTTGACCTAATGAAGGTAGACAAGTCTCCAGGACCTGATGGGATCTATCCCAGAATGCTAAGGGAGGCAGGTGAGGGCCTTGTACAAAATCTTTGTATCCTCTTTAGTCACAGGAGAGGTCCCAGAGGACTAGAGAATTATTGGAGAAGATTATTAGGGATAGAATTTACTCACACTTGGAAAATACGGACTTACTCGCAATAAGCAGCATGCCTTTGTGCAAGGAAGGTTGTATTTTACAAACTTCATTGAGTTTTTCTGAGAAAGTGACAAAGGTGACTGAGAGCAGAGTAGTAGATGTCTATATAGACTTTAACAAGGGCTTTGACAAAATCCCTCATGGCAGGCTGATACAAAAGGTACAGTCACATGGGATTTGTGGTGGGCTGATAAGATGGATACAGGACTGGCTTAGTTATTAAAGAGTGAGTGTAATGGTGGAAGGGTATTTTTCTGACTGGAGATCTGTGACCAATGTTGGGACCCTTGTTTGTAATAAATGTAAATAATTTGGGGGAAAAATATAGTTAGTTTGATTAGTAATGTTGTGGTTGACACAAAGATTTGGGAAGCTGGGGGTATTGAGGAGGATTGCCAGAGGATACAGCAGGATATAGATAAGCTGGAGACTTGGGCAGAGAAATGGTAGATGAGTTTAATCCAGACAAATGCAAGATGATGTATTTTGGAAGATCTAATGCAGGAGGGAAGTATACAGTAAATGGCAGAATCCTTAGTCGCATCAACATGGAGGGATCTAGGCCTAAAGTTTCCTGAAAGTGGCAACACAAGTGAATAAGGTGGTCAAGAAGGCATACGGCATGCTTACCTTCATTGGTTGGGACATAGATAAAAATTGGCAAGTCATGTTGCAGTTACATAAATTTTAGTTAGGCCGCATTTGGATTATTGTGTACAGTTCAGGTCGCCACGTGATCAGAATGATGTGGAGGCTTTGGAGATGGTGCAGAAGCACTTTATCAGGATGTTGCCTGGTTTGGAGGGTATTAACTATAAGAAGCAATTGGACAAACTTGGTTTGTTTTCACTAGAACATCAAAGGATGTGGACGACCTGATAGAAGTTTACAAAATTGAGAGGCATGGCTAGTCGGAGTCTTTTTCCCAGGATAGAAATGTCAATTTCTAGGGGACATAGGTTTACAATAAAAGAGAG